ATGTCAACACAGCGAGAAGATGGTCATCTGCAAACTGAGGCCTTGGGAGAAACCAGCCCTGCCGAACCTTGCTCTTGGACTTCCAGCCTCCAGAATTAGGAAAAGATAAAGACCTTTGTTATGGCAGCTCTAGCAAACTGGTAACACTGACACTGACCCGGTTTTGCCAGAGGAAACCTGGGAGTCACTCTGGATTCCTCCTACCCCCGCCCCCTCATTTTGCACCTAGTTGGTCACAAATCCTGATGCTTCTGCCTCCCGGAACTGCCCAGGAGCGGAGACTTGGGTTCATCACTGCGTCGGGCCGCCGTCACGGCCCTCCCTGGTGACAGCAGAACCTGACTCGTCTCTGCTTCTCCTTTCCCCACGTCCGCACAGCGGAGTGGTTGTTTTAGTACGTAAACCAGAACCCACACTGCCCAAAACCCTGCGGTGGTTCCCACGGCTGTCACCGAACAGTCCAGCTCTTTACCGCGCTTGACAAGGCCCCTCTCAGACCCTCGCATCTCTCTTCCCCACGGTGTGCTGGGCTCCCCTGGTTTCCCTCCTGTTCTTTGAGATCATCCAGTGGTTTCTCATCTCAGGCCCTTTGCGTTTGCTCTTCCCTCGGCCTGAGACGCTTCTCCCTGAGCAGAGGGTCTCTCAGCCCGGCCCTGCTGACACGCTGGGCTGGGTACCTCTCGGTGGTGGGGCCGTCCCGCGCGCTGCTGTGAACACAGCATCCTTCACCCCTGCCCCCTAGACGGTAACACATCCCCCACCCTGACTGTGACAAGCAACACTGTCTCCGGGCTTTGCCAAACGTCCCCTGGGGGCAGAAATCCCTCCTCTGAAACCCACTGCCATAGCTCTTTATTTTTCATTTAGTTTTAAATTGTATTTTGGTTGCTATGAGCGGTCTTTCTCTGGGTGCGGAGCGCTAGGGCGGGGCTGCCCTTCACAGGGAGGGGGCAGAGCTGCTGGTTTTGAGGAAGCAAAGCCCTGACTCGAGTCTGGCTTGGTTCCTGCTCTGGACAGTCTGCTCTGTAGCTCTGGACACCCAGCTCGGAACCTGGCCCTTCGCCACACGTGGTGTTGTTTCCTGTTCTATGGCCAAGCAGGTGTGTTGCCTTAAAGGTCCGGGAGCACCGAGAATGCAAACAGAACACGAAATCTGGTGCAATGGGTCAGGGGACCTTCAGCCTCTATTGGACTGGAGGTGTAGCGTCCACTCTGAGTCCAGCTTTTATTCCTGATTGCGGACTACCAAACTTTCTTTGATCTATCTTTCCCAATACACTGCATTGACACAGTCCAGATCGCCTTGTTTTTTTGCCCCAGGCTGTTCCTGATTGTCTTGGGAACAGTCAGCAAGTGCGTGGGCAGTGTTCATACCTGACGCTGACCCTGTGTTCCAAGGTCCATGCTTTCATGATGCCAGTCATACTCTTTTCTGGGTCTGGCCTTGGGGTTTGTAACAAGGCCATTATTCTAAGAAAAACATGAAGAATAATCATAACACAGTTTCTTAACATATGCTGTTTTTCCAAGTGCTGTTTCTGTGAAATTTCTCAAGGCTGTGAAAGCACGTTATTAGGAGTTCCCACTGCACAGGTGGATGTCCCCTCTGCCCAGGGGACACACCCTGAGTTACCAGGGCCCACCCCATCCTTGACTGTGTCCCTTCTCCTCCTCCTTGGAGGTCCAGGCTCCCTGTCCCCTGCCCACCTGACCCTCTGTTCCTCTCCTCACCCACAGGCGTCGGCTTGTCTGGGTAATTCTTGCAGGACACAGTAGTCTCTTTCCTGCAGACAGAGGGGCCTGGAGGGGACCAGCTCCTCCAGCTCTGTCCCAGGGAAATAGAATCCTTTCCCCACTCGCTCTTGGCAGAAATACACTCTAAATCTCCATAAATTGGCCTATTTAGGAGCTTTTTTAAACATTAAATTAAATTAACATTAAATGCTGTTAAAAAACAGCATTTTTTGCATGAAATATATTAAGGAGAATACTTTTAATATTAAATATATTTTAAATTAAATATATTATGCGCAGTCGCTTCAGTCATGTCTGACTCTTTGCAACGCTATGGATTGTAGCCTGCCGGTCTCCTTTGTCCATGAGATTCTCCAGGCAAGAATACTGGAGTGGGTTGCCATGCCCTCCTTCCGGGGATCTTCCAGACCCAGGGATGGAACCTGTGTCTCCCGCATTGCAGGTGGATTCTTCTACCCTCTGAGCTACCAGGGAAGCCCTAAGCATATTTTATATCTCATTATATTTTCTCTCTTTTGATTACCTGCAGTTAGTCTGTCTATATCAGAAGTAAACTTCAAGGTAGTAAGAGTGGTTTTTTCCATTGGCTAATTTCCCTTTTCTATCAAAGAGGGTGTCTCCTGGGCTCAGGGCAGTTTGGGACAGCAGCATAAAAGCAGGAAGCGAAAGGTCGGGAGAGGGGACCCCTGAGAGTGGAGGAAGAAAAGCAGGATGTTGGTGGTTGTGGTGGTGGTGATGGTGGGCGAGTGAGAGAGAAGGGCTAGACTTTGGTTGTGTTGAGGTGGAGATGCCAGTGGGGTCAGGGTGGAGCTGTCCCAAGGTCACGGGGCTCAGCTGGGCCCTTGGGGCAAGGGCCCGGAGATACCAGGCAGGAATGCCAGGTGTGACTGGAGTCGCTTAGGGGGCCAGTGGCTCCACAGGTGAAGACCGCCTGCTTCCTCTGCAGTCATGTGGGGTTGTACCAAGTGAACAGAACCCAGAAGAGAGTGCCCACATCTTGGGCCATCAAAGGAAGATGGTGGGGGCCAGGAAGAAGCACGCAGGTCTCTAAGTGGCCTGGACTGAGCTGGGCTGGACTTGGCCTGAACCCTCTCTCTGGCCTGAGGTCACTTTCTGTGTTGTTTGGACCCTGAAAAACCATCGTACCATCTAAAGTAGCTCCTGTTACCCGCCCAGTGACTATCCCAAGGGTGTTCTGCTTTCAGAGTTCCACTTCTACAATAATTACGGGTAAGAACGATTGCTAGGCACACGTGGGGAGGGTTCCATCCTAAGAGCAAAGGACGGCAAGCTCTTTTTGTCGGGACCAGACAGTACACATCTTAGTCTTTGTGGACATATGGTCTCTGCCACAACCACTCCACTCTGCTGTTGGAGCCGGAAAGCCACATAGACAACGTGTAAATGAACCAAGGTAACTGTGTTCCAACACAACTTATTTACGCAGGCTAAAACTTTACTTCCATGAAATTTTCACATGTCATGAAATATTTTTGCTTTCCATATTCCCTCCAACTCTTTAAAAATGTCCAACTGTCCTTAGTTCATGGTCTGTGCCAAAAAAGGGGAGGGCTGGAGGTATGGCTGTGGGTTTGTGTTCATCCCTTATAACCCTACAAGCCTCATTGATTGCCGGCGTGCTTTTATATTTCTTTTTCTTTTTTTTGGCGGGAGGGTGGGGGGCGGTGGGGGTGGGTGGGTGTTGCACTGTGTGGCTTGTGGGATCTCAGTTCCCTGACCTGGAATTGAGCTTGGGCTCTCAGCAGTAAAACCATGGAGTCCTAACCACCAGACCACCGGGGAGTTCCTCTATACTACGTCTTTACTTGTCATGTCATGAGAAACTGACCTTGGAGCTCACATTTGTATGTGGTGCAGCTTAGGTGCCCGTTTCTATGGGAGACTCTTTAATACGTGGCTGTAAGCGGTCAGGATGGTGTCATGATTCCACGAGGCTTTCCTTCACTCTGATTTGAGGCTGTGGGGTCTCTTTACAGATCCCAGCTTTTGGCAGGGAGCTCCAGCTCCCGCCTGATACAGGCCTGAGACATCAGCTCCTGGCCCTGAGTGGCTGTTTATTTATTTGGATATTTATTGATTTATTTGGCTGTGTGTGTCTTAGTTGTGGCATGTGGTTGAACCCAGACCCCTAGCACTGGGAATGTGGAGTCTTAGCTACTGGGCCACCGGGTCCCGAGTGGCTGTTTAAATGCCAGCCTCTCTCCTCCTGAAAGAGAACTATCCATTTCTAATAGTTTCCATTAGCTGTTCAGTATCAGGTCCCACTCCTGGTCTTGGCTTTCAATTCCCTTTACATTTCTGGCACTTGGGGATGTTCTTTGCATGATTTTGACCTCAGTTATATATATCACAACTTTCAGGGTTGTGTTTTATACAGTAGTCCTATTTGGGTTTAGGAGGAAGTCTCTGTATTGACTCATCCACCATACTGGGTGCACTTTCTTATTGGATTTTAGTGAAATGTGACCACATTAGTCATATTTTATATATATTTTAAACCATCAGCACTTGATTTTGCTTACTCGAATTTCCTTTATAAACAACTCCAGGATCATACTGGGGAATAAAAAAAGAAAGCAGAAGAAAGCAACATAAAAGCAAGAGCGAAGGGACTGGAGGTTTGTTTGATCCTCTTGGTGGATCAAATAACGTGAGGGCCATAGCCTCCCTCCAGCTGTTATCAGTGTTGAAGAAATGACACAGGAAGGGACTTCCCTGATGGTCCACTGGCTAAGGCTCTGCACTCCCGGTGCGGGGGGGCTCAGGATCAATCCCTGGTTGGGGAACTCAGATCCCACATGTGATGTGGTGTGTCCAGAAACAAAACAAAAACAACAGCAGCAACAAAAGTAGGCAGCCAGAGAGGAGGGAAGAAAGAGAAAGGCAAGGGACAAAGGGTCTCCTCTGTTGTTATATCTAGGGATTGAGATCATGAAGGCCAAGGTGTGACCCAAACCTCGTATTGTTACCAAACGGACAAAAAAGTTGCTCGATTTCTCTTGCTGATTTGTCTATTCTCTGAAGTGTCTCTTGCCACCCTTCCCCTTTTTCTAAGTAAGGCTTCAAATTAGGAAGTAGCTGAGAAATTATAAAGGAAGTAGATGAGCAAGTAACGCAAAGGAATGTTGAACAAGTGGAAGGTGGGTGGCCCAGGCTCTGTTGTCGACACCTAGACTTCAGCTGGGACCTGGATCCTCTGGGCCACCTGCCAGGGAGATAGGACCATGTGGCTGCCCTCAGTTCTTCTCCTTCTCTGCCTCCCAGGTGAGTGGGGCTGGGGCCTTTGGGAACTTGGTATTGCAGGGGGCAGGACCGTAGAAGGGTAGAAGGTCTGTCCTGGGTTCAAGCCAGAGGCAGAGCATCAGCAGAAATGGGAGGGAAGCAGAAATCAGTTCATCTGCCTTTTATACACTCAAACGTTCATCTTGTGGTCCTACACACACTTATTGAGCACCAACTGTGTACCAGGACTGTTCTGGATGTGGTAATTCAGAGCAATTTCTGCACTCAGGGACTCGTGATTGGATGAAGGGGTCAAGTTACTACGCTACTGCATTAAACTAGGGCTTCCCTGGTAGCTCAGACAGTAATAAATCTGCCTGGAATGCAGGAGATGCGGATTCGATCCCTGGGTTAGGAAGATCCCCTGGAGAGGAGAATGGCAACCCACTCCAGTATTCTTTTTAATTAAAAAAAAAGAATTTATTGATGGCTGCGCTGGGTCTTCGTCACGTTCTCTGGTTGCGGCGAGCAGGGGCTACACTGTGTGGCGCATGGCTTCTCATTGCGGGCGCTTCTCTTGTTGCAGAGCACAGGCTTGAGGTGTGCAGCCTCAGTGCTTGCCCTGCAGCGCGTAGGATCTCCCCTGCCCAGGACTGAATCCATGTCCCCTGTCTTAGCAGGCGGATTCTTAACCACTGGACCACCAGGGGAGCCCCCCGCTCCAGTATTCTTGCCTGGAGAATTCCCTGGACCGAGGGGCCTGGAGGGCTACAGTCAACGGGGTCGCAAAGAGTCAGACAGGCGTGGAACTTGCTATAGAAGAGGTTCGCTTATATGGTGATGAGCGTGCACACAGGGCCCCCAGTTCTGCTCCTGGAAGGATACAGGTCTCCCTAAAGCATCACTGGGAGTTAGTCTGGAAGGATGAATGAGTCAGATGAGTGGAAAATCGGAGGAGCTGATGCAAAAGCGTGGAGATACTGGAGACTGTAGAAAGCTCAGGAAGGAGCAGCCGTGCTGTTTGGTCCAGGCTCAGTTGAAAGGGGTATGAAAGTTTTGTCAGGAGGGATGAACGAGGAGTCTAGAAACGCGACCTCTGCTTCCACGTTAAATCCCTCCTGGAAGAACATGATCAAATTGTTCCTCAAAGGTTGAACTTTCAGAAGAGAACATCTTCAAAGAGACATTCACAGTGCAGGAGAGCACATTTTTAACGTCAATTTTTATTGGAGTATAGCTGATTTACAGTGATGCGTTAGCATCTACAGTACAGTCAAGTGAATCAGCCGCATGTGTACATACATCCCCTCTTTTCTGGATTTCCTTCCCGTTGAGGTCACCATGGAGCACTGCGCTCCACGGCAGGTTCTCACATCTACTCTATGCACAGTGATGTGCACATGCCCGTCTCAGTCTCCCAAATCCTCCCATCCTCCCCACTTCCCACCCTGCTGTCCGTGTCTTTGTTCCCTATATCTGTGGCTCTGCTTTGCAAATAAGATCGTCTGTACCATTTTTTCTAGATTCCACATATATGCATTAATATATGATATTTGTAAGTTTAGGATAAAAATTAGAGGATTTTCTTCATGCTTTTAGAGTAACTTTTATGTTAGGCTCCCTCACAAAATGTAGAGCCTGCCCAGTGTAATGACAGACTCTTCTGGAAAAGTGCGTGGAAAAGGGGGAGATTTAAAGGATCTATTGTACAGCACAGGGAACTCTGTTCAATGTTCTGTTCAATATGTAACAGTGTAATTAGGGAAATAATTTGAAAAATTATATATATATATATATATATATATATATATATATATACACCCACTCCAATGTTCTTGTCTGGAGAATCCCAGGGATGGCGGAGCCTGGTGGGCTGCCGTCTATGGGGTCGCACAGAGTTGGACACGACTGAAGCGACTTAGCAGCAGCAGCAGCAGCATATGTGTAGAATGTAATACACATGTATAACTAAATCACTTTGTTGTATAGCCCAAAACTAATGCAACATTGTTCATCAACTGTACTCCAAAATAAAATAAAAAGTTAAAAAAAAATAAAAAAGGAAAAAGAAACCAGTCATGGGCTAGAGTATTCACACCTTGGAAACTGGCAAACACTACAAATCAGGCTTCTCCCCTAGGGAGTTGGTTTACCAGCATATCAGGGCTTGTTTAATCTTCTTGCTTAAATCTAATAAAATGTCTAATAGCCCCAGCCTGGGTGCAGTCAAACTGAAGGTGGAAACTTCTTCCCACCTCTTTCTGTGGAACTGGCTGAACTCTCCAGAACTGCAGCCTCATTTTTGCGTCTTGAGAACGTTTGCAGCTGATGTTTCACGTGGGCTCAGATAGGAACTTTGAAGTCACTTGTAAAGATTTAAGTTTCAGTTCTTTTTCATCCCAGCCCCCTCCTCCACCCTGTGCACCCATCTGGGGTTACAAACACGATATGGAAAAATGTGATTACTTTAAATTTATGGAGGGCACCCACGAGGGTTGTAAGGGATATAAAGAAAGGTGGTAAGGGCGATTCCAGAACACAGAGAAAAAGAATGAAGACGGAGGAAGTGAATTCCAATACAAAATGAGCAAGAACAGTACTTATATTTATTAAGCACATTACAACCTACAAACACTTTCAAACCCACGGTACAATTTAGCCCTCTGAGCAACTTTTCAAAAAATTGTATTGGATCACAGTTGATTTACAATGCTGTGTACAGCATTCACGTGTATAGCGAGGTGAATCAGTCATACGGATATAAGTAAAAGTTGCTCAGTCGTGTGGACTGTAGCCCACCAGGCTTCTCTGTCCATGGAATTCTCTAGGCAAGAATACTGGAGTGGGTAGCCATTCCCTTTTCCAAGGAATCTTCCCAACCTAGGGATCGAGCCTGGGTCTCTTGCTTTGCAGGCTGCTTCCCTGGTGGTCAGCAATAAAGAATCTGCCTGCAACACATATACATGTATCCATCCTTTTTTAGGTTCTTTTCCATATAGGCCATCACAGAGTATTGAGTAGATTTCACCGTGCTATACAGTAGGTTCTTATTAGCTATCTATTTTATATACAGTAGCGTGTATATTTTGATCCCAACCTCCCAGTTTATCCTTTGCCCAACTCTCCCCCTGGTAATCATAACACTGTGACCTCCATCTGTGACTCTATCTCTGTACCATTTTTCAGATCTCACATATAAGCAATATCATGTGGTATTTGTCTTTGTCTGACTGGCTTCACTCAGTATGACAAACTCTAGACCCATCCATGTTGCTGCAAATGGCATGATTTCATTCTTCTTTATGGATGAGTGATACTCCATTGTGTATATAATATGTACTACATCTTTACCCATCCCTCTGTTGGTGGACATTTAGGTTGCTTCCGTGTCTTGGCTGTTGTAAATACTGCTGTCCTGAACACTAGGGTGTGTGTATCTTTTTGAATTATGGCTTTCTCTGGACATATGCCCAGCAGTGGGATGGCTGGGTCACATGGTAGCTCTATTTTTAGTTTTTTAAGGAACCTTCCTACCGTTCCCCTCTGAGTAACTGACGCAAGCAGGGCAGTTAACATCATTCCCACTTTACAGATAAGACCGTGAAGGGATTAGTGACATATCCAGTAAATGAAAGAACTGAAAATTAAATCCAGATGAGCCTCCGCCCCAGGGCTCTTCCGAACGACCACGGGGTTCTATAACAAAGCAAAGCCTGTGATAGTCACAAAACCACTCAAGGTGTGTCCTGCAGATTGCTCTGCTGATTACCTAGTGTTTCCATTCTGAACTCATTGCTCTCCGACTCTCGCTCCTGTGAACGTCAAGCAACTAGCAAACACTCTCCTTAAAAAATGCACACACGAATTTATATAGTCCCACGTAAGACCTGCTAATCTTGCATTCAGGCACATTCTAGCAGGACAGAGGAGAGTACTCTCTTGGAATTAGTAGAATCTTCTTTTTTTCTGTTAACTTCTGGTGTCCAGATTGGGTTGGTCTTGGCTGGATGCCTTCTCATCATTGGTCCATAGAAGGCCTTCTTTTCTGTTAATCATATATAATTTAGCAAACTTCTGTGAGCTCACTGGCCAATCCAAGAACTGGGATACTACCTTTAACTTAGACCTACAAGTTCCTTCCCAATCCAACCCGGCTTCCTCATTCAAACACCCCTTGATATCACTTGCCAACATATTTCATGAACATTTGCTTTTGACATATTTGTGGGTTAGGTAGAAAATTGGACTGAGATCTTATAAGCCGCCTTCTAAATCTGAGGGTCTGTGATGAGAGCCAGAGATTTATCTTTTCTCCCTTGAGAACATGTGGAGAGCAGAGTAAACAAGAAGTTATACTCTTTAAAAAAGACTGCTTGATTCATCAGGTCTCAGCTGTGGTGCGTGAGGTCTTTGGTGTGCCAGGTGTGGTCTCCTGCTGTGTCTCACACACTCTGGTTGCAGTGTGTGGGTTCTTCGTTTCAGCATTTGGGATATTAGTTCCCTGACCAAGGATCAAACCCATATCCCCTGCATTGCAAGGCAGATTCTTAACCAGTGGACCACCAGGGAAATCCCAAGAAGTTGTACTCTTAAAGAAATGGTTTGAATTACAAAACACCCAGGATGCAGAAATCTTACTCCAAAGGGAAGTATTTTGGTTACACGACCAAACCTCATGCCGGCAGAGGCTATAGGGTTAAGGACAGGGCAGGATAGTAAGAAGAGTGACATGAAGCCCTTTGCAGGAACATGGATGGACCTAAAGAGTGTCATACTGAGTGAAGCAAGTCAGAGAAGGAGAAATATCCTATGACATCCCTTATACGTGGAATTAAAAAGAAATGATGCAAATGAACTTACAAAATAGAAAAAGACCCACAGACTTGGAGAACAAACTTTTGGTTGCCAGGAGGGCCTGACGGGAGGACGGGATACTTAGGGAGCTGGGTATGGACATGCACACACTGCTGTATTTAAAGTGGAAAACCAGCGAGGACCTACTGTGTCGCACAGGGAGCTCTGCTCAATGTTACGGGGCAGGCTGATGGGAGGGGCGTTTGGGGGAGAATGGACACTTGTATTTACAGATGAGCCCCTTTCTTGTTCACCTGAAACAAATTGCTCCTGTTCACCTATCATGATGTTGTTAATCGGCTATACCCCAGTAGAAAATAAAAAGTCTAAATTAAAGCAAAGCAAGCAAACAACAAAAAAGAACAGGGCAGGACTGCCAGCTCTCTCTACTCCCACCTCCAACTGTGGTCCGACTCCCCGTGTTCCCAGGGACAGGGTACCCGTGCAGTCAGGCAGCATGTCTGGGTCTCCGGGCAGAGGTCTGAACTGGTCCAGCTGCCCGCTGTCTCCAAACCCTCTGGCTTAGGTCTTAAATCCAGGTGTCTCTCCAGTCCCCATCCCCGAGCCTGGAATGGTCCACGCCTCCCTGGTAACTTTCCCCTTGGGCTTCAAGCAAACAGCGGCTGATGGGGCCTCTTGGGACGGAGTCCTGGGATCTGGCTTGTGTTTTCCAGGCTCTCTGTCGCTGATAGGCCCCGGCTCTGTGGCGGGCACCGCGGGGAGCTCTCTGCGTATCCGGTGTCAGTACGAGAAGGTGTACAAGGGGCATAACAAATACTGGTGCCGAGGAAAGTATGGCATAGCGTGTCGCAAGATTGTAGAGACCAAAGGAGAGGAGAAAGAAAAGAGGAACGGCCGCGTGTCCATCAGAGACCACACGGATAACCTGACCTTCACAGTGACCTTGGAGAACCTCAACATAAACGACACTGGATCCTACTGGTGTCGAATTCAGACTGTCTGGATCCTGGACGTGTTGTCCTTGGACCCCTCGGTCCAGGTTGAGGTGTCTGTTTCCCCAGGTAAGAGCTCCCCTTGGTCCAGCGGCAGAGCTTATGGGAAAAGAGTGGGCTCACGGACAAGGATGGGCGCTAATGAACAGTGTCCTGGGTCTTGTCTTGTTGTCTGTCTCACTGGTGTTGGGAGGAGCCTAGGGTGCAGTCAGGGAGGAAGGCAGCTGACCCTTCAGCTTTGGCATGGGCTGGGGGGCATAGGTACCCCACACACGGCACCACTCTTGCCCTTACAGAGAGGCAGAGACCCCTGAACACACTGACTCGCTTCAGTAGAAAGTAGTGGTCACTGGATGATTCTGTGTGACATCAGAACCACATGGGTGCCTAGTGTGGGACTGGGGAGACAGTGATGCCTGGGGTGTGCTTTGATCTCCAGCGCCAAGGACCAACCCAGGGAGCATCGCCTGTCCGGCTGTACCGGCTACCTTCCCGACAGTGAGTGATGGACAGAACCTCAGCATCAAGGAGATGTCGAGCCACTGCCCAGGGTAAGGGCCCCAGGCCTGGAGACCATGGGGAAGGAGGGTCAGCAGCTTTAGGGGCCCTGGGGTGGGGGCTGGCAGCGTGCCATGACCTTTGTACCTCACCGTCTGCTGGGTTTCCCTCCAGCTCTGGTTCTGATGTTTATATTCTCCAAAGCTGCATGTAGAGTGGAGGATAGCACCCGTTCTGTGAAGCTCTCCCCCGAGGGGCAGCTGCAGGGACATAGATGGAGGCTGGTTTCAGGTGGACTTGAAGCCCCTCCTCTCATCCCCCCCTCCTCGTCTCCCTTCTCATGGGGCTTGGATGAAGGGCCTGATTCCGCGGCTCCTAGCCCAGGCTCTCATCTAAAGGTCTTTGCTCTACCAGAGATTCTGCTTCCAGGAGCTGCCTGGGGGATCTGTGGGAGGTGCGTTGGTTCCAGGCTGACATTTGGGTCTGTCTCCTCCTTCCAAAGATACCCAGATGGGCTGTGATGCTGTCAGACCCTGAAGGGAATGGGGGCTGATGTCTCTAAAGTGTGGGTGAGGACGGGCTGTAAGAAGTCAGCCGATAACAGGGGAAACTGTGTGCAGGAAAGGGATGGAGAGGCTGAGTTTGGGTGCATGCTTCTGGAAGCAGGTGCTGCCTGGTCCCTCTCCTCTCTCCGTTCCATTCCCTGCCCTTAAGGAGAGTCCCAAGGGCAGTTCCTGAGGCAGGAATGATGACAGGAACCCCAGAAAGGGGTTGCCCTGACTTGGGTCTCTTCCGGGTTTGATCCTGAGTTATCTAGGAACTTCCCTGGTGGCTCAGATGGTAAAGCGTCTGCCTACAATCCGGGAGACCCGAGTTTGATCCCTGGGTTGGGACGATCCCCTGGAGAAGGAAATGGCACTCTACTCCAGTACTCTTGCCTAGAAAATCCCATGGATGGAGAAGCCTGGTGGGCTACAGTCCACGGGGTTGCAAAGAGCTGGAGACAACTGAGCAACTTCACCTTATCTAGGCTTCAGTGTCAGGATGCGGCGGGAGGGGGCAGGGGTGGGAAGGGTCCTGGGACCTCCTCCAGAGGCGGCAGCTCATTTCCGGACACCGTGTCTCCGACAGGTCCTGGCTCAGCAATGTCCACTTCCTGCTCCTGGTCTTCCTGAAGCTGCCCCTGTTCCTGGGCATGGTCGGGGCTGTCCTCTGGGTGAACAGACCTCAGAGGCGCCCTGGAGGAAGAGAGAGACAGCTTGACCAGCGAGGTCCACTGTGCAGCGTGCTGTACCCAGGAACGCCCTTTCCAGGAATACAGCTCTTCAGACTGGACAAGAGAGACCTTCAGATTCTGGGCTCCAGGGCAGGGGGGCAGCAGTTGCTAGATTCTGGAAGGACTCAGGTCTTCTGGGGGCACTGGTCCAGGGAGGGTCCCGGATCTTAGAAGACACTCGTTCTGAGTCCTCAGGTGAGGGAGGGCTCTGCCACCCCTGCCCTTGCTTGGGGGTTCTCTTTTCTCCTCCCCAGATCCCCTGATTCTTGGGCCTCACACCCACATCCCAAGGGCAAGAATTCTCTGGAAGTTGCATGCTCAGAGGCCTGACATTTTACTCTTCTCCTTGGCACAAAAGCTTCTTGGTTCAGCATTGCCAGGAAAATGACCACCTCCCGCCTGCAGACAGGAGGCTGCCTGAGGACACACCCCTCCCAGCTTCAGTCCTGGGCTCACAGGACTCCATCCGCTCCTCTGGGACAATCCCAAGGGAGTTTAGTCCTGACAGAGTTTGCTCATGCAGCTGCCTGCTGTCCTGTGAGCTCAGGGTTTCTTCCTCTTTTCCAATGCCTCTTTGGTTTCAAGCCTTCTTGTGTCCTTGTGACCGGTGTCTGACTTGGCTGAGTGCATCTCTGTCTGGCTCAGCCATGACTGAGCAGCTTCGAGTTATAATTCTGTGGCTGTTTGGAGCAGTGATGGTAGAAGGAGGCAGTGGATACCTCTAATATCACTCCGGTAATTCCCTAACTTGGAGGGTCTCCCGTGCACAGAGTCGATGGAGAGTCCAGGTTTATCCAGTTTAGGAGAAGTTTGGTTGAGACCGTCTATCAACAATTAACCGTCTTTGCAGAAGAGGCAGACATAGCTCCAAGCATAGGGCACAGGACACAGAGGGAAGGAGATGCTTCCGCACGTTGGGATCGTGCAATGCCACCATAACCATAGGTGCCCTTAGCCCAGGAGAGTGCTCGGTTGGTTCTTGGATGCACATCCATCACTCCCTCCCTGAAGTTTGCAGGCAAGAGTTGCACAGTCTGTCAACCTTTCCACTTACCTTTCTGCACCCGTAGTGACCGTTTTCCTCTGAGAGCTCCTCTGAGCTCTGAGTTCTCCTGCAGGGCTGCTGCTCTCTGCACCTAAGCTCTAATGTGTCTCCCCTAAGGCTGAGGACATTCATGGCATCTTAAGGAGAGCTGGGGCTGGACCCAGACTCGGCTGAAGGAAAACCTCGTTCTAAAGAGGCACATACTAATCGTGACCGTAAAATATACACAGGGTGGTATAGAAAGCATAATAATGGACAAGAGGAGAGCTTGCGATGCACTTTCTAAGGAAGATAAACTCACAAGTCAGTAGGGTGCAGGCAGGGCTGCCCAGGGCCACTGGGCAGTCACAGGTGAGATGCTTCATGATGTCAGAGGGGAAAATACTGTGTCACCCCGGCTGGATCAGTGGGAGGAGGTGATATTTGAGACTGATGTTAAAGGAGGTATACAATTTCAGTCGAGTGGGGTGGTAAGGTGGGGTTGGGGAGCTGGGGGAAGGAACATATTCAGAGCAGCAACAGCAAAAGTGAAAACGGAGCCAGAAAATACTCATTGTGATAGTCAGTCCGAGAAGACCAATCAGCGGAGCGTGAGGTTCACATGCAGTTTCCCATGGTGGCCGTGTATTTCGTATTCCAGTGGGATGAAGTTGTGGCAGTGCAGTTTTAACTGCAAAACCTAGGAAGACCTAGGAAAACTAGGGTGGGGGTGTGTTGAAGGGGTTTAGAATCCAACTACTCAGGCTTTGACTGGAGACGCTTGGATGAATTTGAGCAGATCAACTTGGAGTCATGGATGTGTTCTAGGAAGGCTTACCCAGCTGATGAGTAGGATAGTCTGAAAGGAAGAGTCTGGGAGTACGGAGATGTCAAGCTTGGAAGACCAGAAAAGTAGGCATCACTGAGAGAAATAGGGAAATCAGGAGCAGGCTAGGGTGAAACAGAGCTTGGTTTTCTCCGTGAGACTGGGATTACCAGGCATAGAGGAACAGTAGGAAGCTAGAGATGTGGGTTAGAGCATTGATGCTGGAGGGAAGATGTGTGGGGCAGTAAACCGGAGCCCGGGGAGACGGGGAATCATCAAGGGAAGAGTTCAGGTCCAAGGACAGAGTCTTTGAAGCCCCTGCAGTTAGGAGGGACTGGGGGCTTTCCAGGAGGCGCTAGTGATAACGAACCTCCTTGCCAATGCAGGAGACACTAAGATACTTGGGTTAGATCCCGGGTCAGTGAAGATCCCCTGAAGGAGGGCATGGCAACCCTCTGCCCTGGAGAATTCCCATGGACAGGGGAGCCTGGTGAGCTACAGTCCATGGGGTTGCAAAGAGTCCGGACATGACTGGACTGACTGGGCACGCATGCATGCAATACAATAAACAAGCAATTGCATAGATCAATATTGGGGAAATTGACATTTCTACTATGTTGAGTTTTCCGTCCACAAATGAGGTGTATCTCTCAATTTATTTAAATATTCTTTGACCTCTGTCATCAGCATTTTGCAACTTTTAGCACACAAATGCTATGCAGGTTCCATTAGATTTTTACCCAGGTATTTCTTATTTGGGGGGAAGCAGTTAGGAATAGTGTTTTATGTTCTACCAACTTGTTGCTAGTATCTAGAAATATGATTCTCTTGTGTGTGTATTGATTTTATATCCTGGGATCTGGTTGAACTCATTTATTGGTTGAGCAGTTTGTTTGTTTTTGGTAGATTTCATGGGATTTTCTACATAGACAATTATGTCATCTGAAAAAAGGGACACTTTTATGCTTCCTTTCCAATCTTCAAGTTTTAGTGGTGTCCTGGAGGCCCAGGGGAGCACTGGGTAGGTTTAAAACACTCTGATGCCATGTAGAGGATGTGGCATTGTGGGTCCACTGCTTTCAGCCACTGCTACTTTTAAAAGAGAAGCTGGGGGAATTCCCTTGGGTCCAGTGGTTGAGACTCCATGCTTCCAAAGCAGTGGGTGTGGGTTCCATCCCTGGTCATGGAATTAAGATCCCACAGGCTGCATGGCATGGCAAATAAAGAGAAGCTGGAAGTGAAATCCCTCATGTTCACATACAGGCAACAGATTCCATTAATAAAATACTATGATCAAAATGAAACACGTCCATAAATCCATGCAGGTTATGGGTACAGTCTGTGACTTCTGAGCAAAGCAGAGAATTTCAAAACACCGTGTGCCTGCGTGGTATTTATGCCTGGGGCCATATGGTGCCCTCAGCAGGCTTGGGAACTGACCTTCTCAAGAGCGCAGATGGATCTGTGGGGACGGTGGGTGAGCCAGACGCATGCTGGTCCAGGGGCAAACTCGACTCTGCTACCTGGCTCTGCAACTGGGCACCCAGGGCCCTCGCCCTTCACGTCTCCTTGTTGTTATCTGTGATATGAGGGTGCGGGATCAAGACTTGTGTGTGGCAGCTTTAAAGCATGACTTCGAAGTTCCTTGATGCTCCTCCTATTAAGGGTTGGGGCTTCCTTCCCCTCCTGAGTCTGGGTGCACTGGGACTGCCCTGATCACAGACCGGAGCCTGGGTGCTCTGGGACTGCCCCGATCACAGACCGGAGCCTGGGTGCTCTGGGACTGCCCCGATCACAGACTGGAGACATGTTTCTCAATGCTTTCCCCATTATCATCCTCCTAGAGATCCCCTGGGGGAGGAAATGGCAACCCACTCCAGTATCCTCACCTGGGAAATCCCATGGACAGAGGAGCATGGCAGGCTACAGTCCATGGGGTTGCGAAGAGTCAGACATGACTGAGTGACTAAACCACTAGCAGAACCATCAGTTACAGTTTGCATCTACATGTAGGGAGTCTAATCACGACCTCTGTGAGGGGACAAAAAGGTATCTTCTAGGTCTCTTCCCTCTACTTGCTGCCAAGTCACAACTGCCAGATATGTTCTAACTCTTGTGTTTGATTTAGGGTCACTTCACACCCTCTAGAATATATGGGTCATCCTCTCATACATAAAAAAATGAAAATAGTGTCCCAACGAAATCTCAAAGGAGCACAGGAAATCCATAGATTTTAATAGGAAATGTACAGCACAAGTGTACAGCTCACAAACACATGAGCTGGGCTCTGGACCAACCGCATCTTCAATTATCTGTGTTCAGGCCACTCTTCCTCTAGGAGGTATGGATGCGACAGAAAGTGGGCTTGGTGGACCCCTGTACACCCAGCCCATGGTGGGGAGTCCTTGCCCATCTAGACACTCGTTAAAGCTTCTTAAAGAATAGTTTTTATTTTTTTGGCCACATGCGGTCTCTGTTGCTGGGTGCGGGCTTTCTCTGGTCCTGGCAAGCCAGGGGGCTCCTCTCCGTGGCAGCGCACGGGCTTCTCATTGCAGTGGCTTGTCTTGCTGTGGGGCTCCGGCTCTGGAGCTCAGGAGTTGCAGCGCATGGGCCTACCTGCCCAGAGGCATGTGGGATCCTCTCGGGCCAGGGATCGAACTGGTGTCCCCCTGCATTGGCAGGCGGATTCCCAACTACTGCACCACCAGGGAAGTCCCAAAGCTTTTCCGTTTAATTCCAGTTTTATGTAAACTGATGTGTCTAGAATTTTGAAACCCACTGTTGGGCAGGGGCCCTGAACAAGGTCTTAGTCAATTATCTTCGGAAGAGCTGCCCCCCTCTAGAGTCACAGGGACGGAGGCATTGAAAGGACAACCCCTGCTCCAGATCACAGGGTCCTCTGAGGACCCCGTGTGTCAGGGGAACACCATCTCCTCTCCTCTCTTTGATCCTGCGGTAGGGGCTGCAGGAGGCAGAGAGGCCCCGTCAGGTTTCCGAGGCCAGGATGAAAGGGATCTTCACTGCAGCAGGAACGCTCATCTCCTTTGGGACTGAAATCACTGCTCCTTCTCTGATAAGAAGTCAGGAGCTTCTTCTCCATCTGCTTGGCAGGCGGGCAGGTGGGCGGGCGGGCAGGTGTTGGTGGTGAGCGCGCTGCGGTTCTCCCACTCAGCCCAGCTCATTGACCCCTGGGCTGCCCCAGACTGCTCAGCCACGGCACAGCACACAGCAGGCCCCAAGCAGGGGCACCTTCACGAAGGTCAAGAGCACCACGCGGATGTTGCAGAGGAGGATGCTTACGAGGCACAGGTGACAGGAGTGAGCTGCGTCTTTAGGGGAGCCCCGGGCCCTGCCTCTCTCTCCCGTCCCTGAGTTTAGACCTGGGTGATGGAGGGGCAAGCCTGCGTCCCTGCTGGGGAAGTCTCCTCAAGGGGCGCAGCCATTCTGCTCAAGGGCCAAGCCTTCAGGGCCTCCCTGCAGGCTCTGTGCCGGGGACCGGCACCCTCTGCCGTCTGTTACCATCCCGCCCTGTGACTGCTCCCCCACGATCCTCCTCAAATCCCCCGCAGTCTAGACCCTCTCCCGTCTTTCTGATTCGGCCTCAGCTTGCCTGGCCACCTTGTGTTGCCCTTGGTAAATTCTGCCCGTCTTTCAAGCTCAGATCTAATATCACCTCTTAGAAGCAGAGAAAGGTTCCTCTATCCCATCAACCTGGCTTTTTACCTGTTCGGTTCTCCTGGGAGGGGGTCTGTCCCAGATCTGACCCCCAGCAGATAGTGCATATAAGAAGGAATATCTCATATAACACATACGTATTTTTTAAATTGGAGGGTAATTGCTTTCCAATGTTGTGTTGGTTTCTGCCATAGAGCAGCGTGAATCAGCCGTAGATACACATCTGTCTCCTCCCGCTTGAGCCTCCCGCACACCAGCACCCCATCCCGCCCCTCTTAGTTGTCACATAGACTGGGTTGCGCTCACTGGCTATCTGTTTCACATACGCTAATGGGCTTCCCTGGTGGCCCAGCTGGTGGTAAAGAATCGGCCTGCAATGTGGGAGACCTGGGTTCTGGTTTGATCCCTGGGTCAGGAAGATCCCCTGGAGAAGGGAATGGCAACCCCCTCCAGTATTCTTGCCTGGGATACCCCATGGACGGAGGGGCCTTGTGGGCTACAGTCCATGGGGTCGCAAAGAGTTGGACATGACTGATCGACTAACATGGACAATGTGTATGTTTCAATGTTACTCCCTCAATTTGTCCCACCCTCTGCTTCCCCTGCTGTGTTCACAAGTCTGTTGTCTATATCTGTGTCTCTATTGCTGCCCTCCAAATAGGTTCAGCTGTACTATTTTTCTAGATTCTGTATCTATGCATAATATACAATATTTAACACGATAATGTATTTGTGTTACATATATGTACACATAACACATATTTGACACTTGGTCTAGTTACACTGCTGGGCCCTTGGTTGCCTCGGCTCCTTGGATAGTCCCTCCCAGTAGAGAAAAGGGTCTGATCCCCTCCCCCACAAGCAGTGCCAGGACCCCCCTATCCCCGCAGTGTACCCCCCCGCCCCCCGCAGCATGCCTGCCTTGGTCTCTGCCTCCATCTGCCCTGAGCGTGGTGAGTCATATCGTCACTACCCGTTATCCTGAGAGAGAGCGGGCACGCTGCAATGCCAGCCTTAAAATAGCCCTTCATCCACTGTGCTCTTCTCACCTGTCCCAGCACAGGGCCTGCCCCACCCTCCCCTCCCTCCGCCCCCTGCCCACTGCCCCCGGCTTCTCCAGCTTCTCTCCAAGTCCTACATTCTGTGGCTCCGTGGGACAACCCCCCCACAGCAATGAGCAAGACAGAAGTGGGGCGTGAAGCATCTCCCATAACCTCGTCCCTTTCAGACTCATCACTGAACCGAGAGCCCTCCAAGCAACAGGACCCTCGAGAAAGGAAGCTGGACCGCGCCAGGGGAGGAAGATGAGGGAGGGCGATTCTGGGAGGCAGGACCCAGGGAGAAACTGGACCTTGACCATGGGAGCCTGCGGGCACCAGGCTGTGCTGGGAGGAAACTGGGGTGAGCGGGAGATGCTGCCCTTTGATGAGAGAGCTGACCTCTGAAGGGGGTGGGTGGGCTTCAGTCTGCTGTCATGCCTCTCTCCCATGGTGTGAATGTGAGAAAGCAGGAACCCCAGCTCCCCACTCCCTCCTGGAACGTCCTGACACCTGGGGAGAGGAGGACCAGGGCATACGCCTGTGACTGTCCCGAGCAGATTAATGGCCCTCCCCTTCCCACGGGGCTCAGTGGTAAAGAATCCACCTTCCTGTGCGGCAGACGAGGGTTCCGTCCCTCGGTCAGGAAGATTCCCTGGAGAAGGAAATGGCTACTCACTCCAGTATTCTTGCCTGGAGAATCCCAAGGACAAAGGACCCCGGCGGGCTACAGTCCATGGGGCCACAGAGAGTGGGACACGACTGAGCATGCGCACATTCACAAAAGATGTCCCAACCCCCAGAACCTGTGAATGTGTTATATTACACAGCAAGGGGGCGGGGGGCCCCATCGTGCAGACAGATTTAAGATTGGCGATCCACTGACTTTGAGAGGGGAGCAACATAATGTGGGGAAGACAATGTGCTATAGCTGGGTTTGAAGCTGGAGGGGGCCAAGAGCCAAGCAATGCAGAGGCCTCTTGTTTAGTTGCCTTGCTGTGTCCGACTCTTTGCGGCCCCATGGACTGTAGCCTGCCAGGCTCCTCTCTGTCCATGGGATTTTCCAGTCAAGAATACTGGAGTGGGTTGTCATTTCTTCCTCTAGGGAATCTTCCCAACCCAGGGATTGAACCTGTGTCTCCTGCATTGGCAGGTGGATTCTTCACCACTGAGCCCCTTTGGAAGCCCACAGTGGCTTCTAGAAGCTGGAAAAGGCAAGGAGGTGGATGCTACCCCAGAGCCTCTGAAGGAACTCAGTCCTGCCAGCCCCTTGATTCTAGCCCAGTGAGACTTATTTCAGATTTCTGGTCTCCAGAGCTAGGAGATAATACAATTGTGACGCTTTAAGCTACCAATGGACATGAGTTTGAGTAAACTCTGGGAGTTGGTGATGGACAGGGAGGCCTGGCGTGCTGCAGTCCACGGGGTCGCAAAGAGTCGGATACGACTGAGAGACTGAACTGAACTGAAGCCACCAGTTTTGTGGCGATGTTACAGAAGCCACAGGAAGCTCACCCAGAGTGCTTCCCTTCTGGCACACTCGAGGCTGAACCCCACCATGCCTCCTTTTGCTTCTCTGGGTCTGGGGGGCAGGTCAGAGGGAGACCACAGCCTTGCCTTCTGCAGCCCAGCTGGAGAACTTTGCTCTGGTTCCTCACAGGGAGCAGGCAGCTCTGTCCTCAGAGGCAGAAACGGGGAGGGGGAGGCCCAGGACAGACGACTGTTTCTCCTCTCTGCACAGGAGACATCAGAGGGGCCACGTGGGGGTCTCTGACTGAGCGCCCCAAGGGAAGCAGCCACCGGGCAGCCGTGGGGAAGGTCTGCAGGAGACTGTCTCTGCTTGTCTGGTGAGGACGCTGCTCAGGGCCGTGGGTTGGCTGCTGCTGATGCTCTGGGAGGCTGGAGCGAGGAAGCCGGGCTGGCCGGTGTGTCTGCTGTCACAGGATCAGTTCTTTCTGTGGTCACAGGTCCAGTTGTGAATGTTGTTGATGGGGAGGGTGTTGCTTTTCTTGCTGAACACAAAGAGCAGAGCGTGGCTCCCAGGGTGACCTGGGTGGCTCCCCTTGGCCTTTTCCACCCCCGCCCATCTCTCCTGGAGATTAAGAACCTTTCGGTCTGAGCACCACCGATCAGCCACCTTGGCCTTCTCCTGCATCTTTTTGATTTTTATTCAAGACATAACCTTCCTTCATTTACAGAGAATCCATTTACCACTGTGTGAGGGATTTGAGGGTGGCGGGCCAGGTGGGTATTTTACAAATATTCCGAGTCGTCGCAGAGTTCTGTTGACATAGCTGAGTGTGTCAGAACCAAGTTCCCACCCCTTGGGATTGTTTTCCTTTCTATTTTTTCTTTGGCTGCGTCAGGCTGCAGTTGCAGCACACAGGTCTCAGGTTGTGGCACGGGGGCTTAGCTGTCCTGCAGCATGTGGGATCTCGGTTCCCTGACCAGGGATGGAACCTGCATCCTCTGCATGGGAAGGCTGATTGTCGGGAGCCAACACACGAGGCCCTACCCCTAAAAAGGCCATAACGGAGAAAACCTGACGGGCAAGGCGAATCAGGTTTTCAGGGGTTTTCGAAAAGGCCAGCTCACGAGATCCCACCCATGACAAGGTCACGAGGAGAAAGCCTGGCAGGCAAGGCAGATCAGGTTTTCAGGGATTTCGAAAAGCTGCCCCCGGCTCTCACCTTAAAGATGATATCTGTCTTTCTGATGCCTGCCTCAATGGACTACTCCCTAATTTCTCTGACACAGGCAGGAAGGCCTTCCCCGATCTCTTCCCAAATAAGAATCAATTCAGAACTTTAATCAATAAGTTTCCCGGGTGGTGGTATTTTATGAGACTATCCAGGGTGAAAGGAGTGTTTTAATTTAAACTCCTTTGCTGGTAGTTTGTTAGCCAAATGCATTTATGCGCTTGGTACTAATATGCATGATTGCTTATAATATCCTAATCATAAAATAGCATAAAGAACCTGATTATATAAAAGCCCTAATAGATATAGAGCCCTTTTAAGGGGTAAAGGAGTCCTATTAGAAAACAAGAAAAATTATTCTATGGGTGGTTATTGGGTTGTGATTTGCCTGCTGTGTTTTGCTTGCAGTGTTCTGCTTTTAATGTGCTAAGGTAGTGTTATAGAAACCATTGTTAATATAGTTTAAGATCTAGAGAAATAAGGACTTAGCCCTAGTGTGGTAACAATGAGATGGTTGTTAATTGTCAGCCAGGAGTGCTAAGCAGAGGCTGCCTCACTGAAGCCGCAGAGTCTGTATGGGGTAAACTTCTTAGATAAACGCAACTGACAACTTTTGCAGAAAGATTAATTTTTGTATTAACAAGAATATAATTCTACTCTGTACTATTTCCCTATGACCCTGTTACCTTTCAGTTAAGGTCACCATAAAAACAGAAAATAGGTTTACATTCACCTGACTTGCATAAAATGTTAATAAGCCCCAAGGCCAGAAGATAATGCACAAGACCCTCATAAACAAAGAAGTATGCAGAAAACACCCTGGTTTCGTGATGAACAAGCTGATGTAATGTTAAACTATCTTCCCCTTAGAAATGTACTAACTTAGGGTATAAAAGCTACGGTAAAAAATAAAGCATTGCCAGACTCTGCCAGACTCTGCACCCCCCGTCTGGTCACTCTCTCTCTCTCTCTCCCTCGCAGATTTGCCCTATCAAGGCTGGTCTCACGTGTCTTCTCTCTCTCGCCGACGCCGTTCATCCCGAGGGTACCCCCTGGATCCTGCCGAGGCTGGACCCCGGAAGCTGATTCTTTTTGTTTTTTCCCCATTTATTTTTATTAGTTGGAGGCTAATTACTTTACAGTATTGTAGTGGTTTGTCATGCCATACATTGACATGAATCAGCCATGGATTTACATGTGTTCCTCATCGCGATCCCCCCTCCCACCTCTCTCTCCATCCCATCCCTCTGGGTCTTCCCAGTGCACCAGCTCTGAGCACCCGTCTCATGCATCCAACCTGGGCTGCTGATCTGTTTCACCCTTGATAGTATACTTGTTTCAATGCTGTTCTCTCTGAACATCCCACCCTCGCCTTCTCCCACAGAGTCTAAAAGTCTGTTCTGTACATCTGTGTCTCTTTTTCTGTTTTGCATATAGGGTTATCGTTACCATCTTTTAAAATTCCATATATATGCATTAGTATACTGTATTGGTCTTTATCTTTCTGGCTTACTTCGCTCTGTATGATGGGCTCCAGTTTCATCCATCTCATCAGAACTGATTCAAATGAATTCTTTTTAATGGCTGAGTAATATTCCATAGTGTATGTATACCACAGCTTCCTTATCCATTCGTCTGTTGATGGGCATCTAGGTTGCTTCCATGTCCTGGCTATTATAAACAGTGCTGCGATGAACATTGGGGTGCACGTGTCTCTTTCAGATCTGGTTTCCTCGGTGTGTATGCCTGGGAGTGGGATTGCTGGGTCATATGGCAGGTCTATTTCCAGTTTTTTAAGGAATCTCCACACTGTTCTCCATAGCAGCTGCATTAGTTTGCATTCCCACCAACAGTGTAAGAGGGTTCCCTTTTCTCAACACACTCTCCAGCATTTATTGCTTGTAGACTTTTGGATAGCAGCCATTCTGACTGGCGCGTAACAGTACCTCATTGAGGTTTTGATTTGCATTCCTCTGATAATGAGTGATGTTGAGCATCTTTTCATGTGTTTGTTAGGAGAAGGCTGATTCTTAACCACCAGAATGATCACCAGGGAAATCCCTCCTTGGGGTTTTAAATCAGGCCAAGATAGCTTTTTTTCTGAGTCTCCGCCTTGGCTACAGAGGGCTCTGGACCTCCTGCCCTGAAGCCGTGAGACCCCGGGATCCCTCTCCTGCGCCCGACTGAGCACCAGCGTCCTCTTCATCCCCCTGGAGTCCTTCCACCTCCAGCGGCTTCCTGTGTCACCACCCCCCACCCCCGCCCCGGTGAGGATGTCGGGCTTGGAGGGTCTCATCTCCAGTTCTCCCAGCACCAACTCCTCTTCCACACATCCACCCTAGCTTGGCTGCCCTTTTTCAGCTAATTTCTGGAACATTCTAGAACCAGCCTACTTCCCCACTCCATACACCATATTTGCATATATTACCAAATTTGAAAAGACTTTTCTCTGCTTTCTAAGTGGGCTCAAGAATCACAGACTTCCCTGGTGGTCCAGTGACTAAGATGCCAAGCTCCCGATGCAGGGGCCCAGGTTTGATCCCTGGTCAGGGAACTAGATCCCACATGCTGCAACTAAGAGTTTGCATAAGACAACGAAGATTGAAGTTTCCGCACGCTGCAACGAATACCTAGCACAGCCAATAAATATATAAACAAACTGATCATTAAAAAAAAAACAGTAACAGAGATATTACCTCCCTAGTATCTGTGTGTCTATGTGGATGCTGTGGGGGGTTTCCCTGGGGCTGGAAGTGGAGACCAGACCTCGGTGTGAAGGTTCTAGAGGAGGAGCTGGGGGCGGGAGCTGAGCCTGACTCTCTGTTTGAAGGAGGCCCTCGTGCCTCTGGGGCAGGTGCAGCTGAATCGAGAATCTCCTCCAGCGTGCAGAGGCAGCCAGAGGAGGTCGCGGGAGGCTCCTAGGTTATGGTGGATCCTGCCATTCCTCGTCCTAGTTCAGAGTCCCTCATCCTCCCCGCCCTCGTGTTGCCAGAGAAGGGGCGGCGGGGCTCACTTGTTTAGCTGAGACACCCAGGATTACGGCTTTCTGGTACCCTACCCCTGTCTGCACAACGACAGGCCCACGGTCAGGCTGGGGCTACTCTGAGGGTGGACACAATGCCCGAAAAGAGCCCCTGCCTTCCCAGGACAAGCTTGTCTGAGCTGAGTCTGGTCCCCTGGATGACAACAGATGGAGACGTACAGAGATGCCAGGTTCACGCTTTCTTTCAAGCTTTCCAGAAAATCTACCCACCCCCTTCCATGCACGTGTGTGCACACATAGGCACGCGAAAGCATGGGCACATGTGTAGTCTCAGGTGAGTTTCAAGGCTCCCCCCATCCCCCGGCTTGGGCAGAGAGAGGAAGAGCTCTGCACCCTCCACGGGTCTGTACCAGGACCTCGGAGGACAGGAGGGTAGTTCCTACCTGGGGGGACAGCCCTGTAGATTTGGTGCCCAGGTCAGGCCCGGTTCTCTGGATCCCACACCAGCAGGGTCGGTGTCACCTCTCCTGAGCCCTTCCATGGTCACGGTGGGCGTACGCCCCCTCTGATTGTCCCAGATGGACACTCAGCCCTTCCACACCAGTTTCTCTGAGCTGGTGGTCTTCATGAGAATCTGGCAGGAGCCTCAGTTCTCTCCACGGCACCCCACTTCAATTAGCTCTCCCACCCCGGGTCATAGTGACACTCGATGGTCACCAGACCACCTTCGGGGCTGCTCACCGACACCATGGATGCAGAAGCAGCCTGGAAAACAGGAACCCCACTTGCATCTCCTCCTTCCTGCAGCCCTGGGTGGGCCTGGGCGCTGCTCCGGGCTTCGGCACCTTCCTCGGGGCCTGACCAGGAGCCTCTGCCCTCTGCCACGGGGTCCTCAAATCCCACGTCCTGACTGTTTCCTACTTCCCTGCAGTGTTTCCTTTGCTGTCACTTCTCTCGTCAAGCTCTGCTCTGGGGTCCTAATTGCCCAACAGAAGCATCTGCAGACTCCTCATCCTGTGGACCACTAGCCGCATCCTCGTTTCAGAAACTCTCCCACCCTTTGCTCTCAGGCAACACCTCCTTCCCCTCCAGCCCGAAGTCCACAGGCTCAGTCCCGAAGCCCAGAGCTGGGGAGGTTGTTCTTCCGACTTCCCAGAGCTCTGCCTCCCTGACACACGACACCCACACACACCCTCTGATGAACGAGACACACACACCCTCACACTAAACACCATGTTCTTTTGTGTCACACCTCTGCACAAGCTGTTTCTCACACCTGGAACGTTCTCTCTTCTCCGATTGAAGGAGTCAGACCCCGACACCCATCCTCCCAGGCTTGGCTCAGATAGCATCTCTTCTAAGGGCTCTCTGGTTCCGAAGTTAACTGGGTCTCTTCCAGGGGCTGCCAGGCTTCCTCCTCCTGTCTCATCTGTCACACTCGCCCCTCTGGACCACGGGCTTGTCTTTGGCTCATCTGCAGAAACTCAGGCAGCTGATATGCGGGGTTGAGGGACACCCCGAGACCCCGCCCTGTCCTGGTTTTGCTGCCTGTCTTCCTCCCTGCCCTCTGAGCTCTTTTTAGAGGAATGGTTCTCAGCTCTGGCTCCAAGTCCAGACCAGCTGTGGAGGCTTTGAAATGACCCAGATGCTGAGCCCTTCCTTGACTATGTGGGTCTGAGCATCTGTGCTCTTTAAAACTCCTCAGGGACTTCCCTGGTGGTCCAGTGGTTAAGAATCTGCCTGTCAATGCAGGGGATGAAATTTCGATCCCTGGTGGGGACTAAGATCTCACATGCAGAGGGGTAACTAAGCCCGTGAACCACAACTACAGAGCCTGCTCGCCCTGGAGCCCCCACGCTGTGATGAAAGATCCCGATGATGCAGAGGAGAGCCTTTGTGCTGCAGCTAAGGCCTGATGCAGCCAGATTAATAAATAAACATTAAAAAACAAAGCTCAGAGATTCACACATTCATGCACACACACATGCACATATGCCTCTGTCTATCCACCTATCTGTCCACCCACCCTTCTGTCTTCTTACCCATCTATTTGCCAGCACTGAGAAACAGTACCCCAGAAAACAGATCTCCTTCATGTTATTCATTTTCATTTTTTCCCCCAACACCTAGCTTAGAACCTGTCAGAGAACACAAATGTATTAACCTTTCTTTAAAAACATAAGTGCATGGATGAATGGATAGGGCCTGCTGTTTGCCCCCGAGCACAGACCCTCTCTGTGTCCCAGCCCAGCCTGGCGGGTCCCAGTTCCCGAAGCCCAGCCCCTCTCACCTGGAGGACTGGGAGCAGCCACTGGTCCTGCCCCTGGGCCCCCGCCCTGTGGATCATCAGTGCCAGCTGCTTTCCAGGGACTTGAACTGAGCCCACAGGAAAAGCGCCCTCTATTTGTCCAAATCATTAGTTTTTAGTTTCTCTCATCTACTTCCCTCATGTTTCTGCTCTTACTTCCTGGTTTCATGAATTGCTGTCCTTTAGAGCGTGTGATGGGTGTGATAACGTGTCCTCTATGGCTGGGGAGTTGCAGAGCACCCAAGTTGCCCAAGATCTCCCTGCAAGTGTGTGTGAGGGTCTGAGCTGCAAGTGTGTGTGAGGGTCTGAGGAGGCGGCCAGTTGAACAGCATGGCGTGCACGGCTGGTCTGTGATCGGGGAGAATGTAGCACTAGGGCTCAGGCCCACTAGCTGAGGCGCATGGGCTTAGCTGCTCCGCAGCATGTGGGATCTTCCCGGATCAGGGGTCAAACCCGTGTCTCTTGCAATGGGAGGCGGGTTCTTAACCACTGAGCCACAGGGAAGTCTCCTCTCTCTTCTCGGCTGAGTCCCTCTTCTCGCTCTTGTGCCCCTCACCCTGGCATTTCCCGGACTCTGTCCTTGTTGCCCTCTTCTCTGAGCAGCATCCCCAGCTCTCTCTCCAGCGTCCCCTCCATGCACAGGACCGTCACACGCACATCTCCACTCCCATCTCCGACTCGGCTCTTGGCTTTCAAAGCCAATGCACTTTTGCAGAGTTACCTGCCCCGTTAGGTGCTCAGATATGCTCAGAATGAAATTCCTTGTGAAAGTCCTTGTGACTCCAATCCTCAGACTGATCTTTTTGCGGCTAAGGCTTCCCCCTCTGGACTAGCCTTCCAAAGACATAGCCCCCCCCCCCCCCCCCCGAGTCTTCCTCCTGCCTCCCATCACCCTCCAAGAGCCTTGCAGGGGAGGGGGGCTTGGAGGTGCAGTGGCAAGTCTGCAGGAGCAGGAGCGCGGTGGTGAGCGGGTTCTGGGGAGGGAGCCGTGGGGGAGGAGGAGGCTGAGCTGCTTCTGTGTGCGTTTATGTCCAAGGCCTGAGGGTTCTCCTGGGAGGAGGGGGAGTCCAGTGCGCCCGGCTGCTTCTGCCTGCAGCCAAGAACTTATGAAGGGATGGGGGTACGTAGGACTGCAGGGAACACCAGTTCCCTATCTCCCTCCCTTCAGTTCTCAATGGTTTTATCGAGGTGTGCTACTGTTCAGCCACTAACTCATGCCCGACTCTTTGTGACCCCATGGACTGTAGCCCGCCAAGCTCCTCTGTCCATGGGATTCTCCAGGCAAGAAAACTGGAGTGGGTGGCATCCCAGGTGACTAGGTGGTAAGTATTCTTGTCTGGAGAGTCCCATGTACAGAATACTGGAGTGGGTGGTCATTTCCTTCTCCAGGGGGTCTTCCTGACCCAGGGATGGGAACTGCGTGCCCTGCACTGACATGCGATTCTTACCACTTACTCACCTGGGAAGCCCTTTATTGAGCTATAATTGCGATAAAATTAGCTGTGTACATTGAAAGGGCCGAGTTGAAAACTTTTTTCTTTTTCTTATTGTTTTTCAAATTTTGCATAGAGTAAGACTCACTCTTTTGTGATGTATACTTTGATGAATTTTTAATGCAGGCATCATTTCTTGCAAACACCACCACAAACATACAGCGCAATTCCACCACTTTCCTCCCAGGGTCTTCAACTGTGGATTCCGCTTCTTTAATGTCAGGCAGTCAAGAGCTTCACGTGCTGAAGGCTTCCCGGGACTGCAGATCCAACCGAGTTCAGCTCAGCTGAGTTGAGCCTTCACCTCAGCTTTGAGGTGCTTTCGGACCTGGCCCGTGTGCGCCACCCAGCGGCTAGTCCGTGACACGGGGTGGCCTTTCCCCAGGTCTCCGTCTGGGGAACTGTCTCAGGGTCCCGCCCGGCTGGCACGGCTTGGAGGGTGAGCTGACTGTCCAGGGTCCCTTTTTGGAGCTGCGTCCTCTTCCTCAACTCCCTGACCCCTTCGCAGCTCCCAGAGACCTCCCCCGGCTTCCTGGTCCTCTGGTTGGAAAGCTGAGGCTTTTGTCTTCCCTGTCGGCTTGGGTCAGCCTCCAGGGCCCGTCAGAGGGAGCACGCGGAGAAACACGCACTGGCTTCCCTGCCAGCCGCCCCCACGCTGCTTCTTCAGTTCCTTTAAAAAAAAAAAAATTATTTATTTATTTTCTGGCTTGGCTTGCTCCTCACTGCTGCACTCAGGCTTTCTCTAGTTGCGGTGAGCAGGGCCTACTCTCTAGTTGTGGGGCCAGGCTTCTCACTGTGGGAGCTTCTCTCGTTGCGGAGCGAGGCCTCCAGGGGCGGGGTCTCTAGGGGCGGGGCCTCTAGGGGGCAGGGTCTCTAGGGGTGGGGCCTCCAGGGGCGGGGTCTCTAGGGGCGGGGTCTCTAGGGGCGGGGCCTCCAGGGGCGGGGTCTCTAGGGGCGGGGCCTCCAGGGCGAGGCCTCCAGGGGCGGGGGCTCTAGCGTTGCAGAAACCAGTACTCGAGAAACCAAGCACCGCACTAGGGGAGTTGGAGAATCAGGTTTATTACGCCGGCGGGCCCAGAGGTGTTAACACTCCAAGCTTTGGGCCCCAAACAAAGGGATTACAGAGTTTTTATAGACAGACTGTAGTGGACAACACTAGCTGTTAATAGGCTGGTTTAACTAAGGGGTTTTGAGTGTGCGGGAACAGTGGTCAAGATGGGGAGGGGGATGTCTGACCTGGACAGGCAGACATGATTAAGCAGGTTTGCAGGGGCTGGGTGATTGCAAAGAGCAGGACAAGGGTGAGTGAGATAAACTCCAGTTCCTAGTATTGCAAGTCCCCACTTTCTGAGACTACATGACCTATGCCATCTAGATTTTGCAAGGGGCAAGCTGAGTTACAGAGGCAGAAGGAGAAGGGGGTGATGTAAAATTTTTATCTTTTCCTCTTCGTTCTCCCCCTTGAAGCTTCTATCACTTGTAGAAAGCATCATCTCATGTTTTGGTAGGACATGCAGAGCTCCCCATCGTTTAGGGGGCTATATTGAGTTTTTACTATTTGTAACTTTATGGATTCAATCCAAGAGGTTATGAACTGGGTAACAGCATTGAGAATACAAGGGCCAAACAAGAGCGCTGCAAAGAGCGTGAAGAGAGGACCTGTTAAAGGGAGAAGCCACGATGCCCAACTCCAGATATTGCTTCAATTACCCCAGGAATTAGCTAGTATTTTCCTCCTTTTAATGATTTGTTCCCTTAGCTGTTGGGCATGTCCCTGACCATTTCTGATTGGTTTACATAAAAGCAGCATTTTTCATTCAAGAAGAGGCGGAGGCCTCCCTTTTCAGCTGTCACTAGGTCTAGCCCTCTCCTATTCTGTAAAACCGCCTCAGCCAGGGAGTCGAGTTGGTCCTGTGAGACCACTAAAGCTTTGGCCACTCTCAGTGTCGTCTGCGAAGTCCTTGGGCAGTGTGTGGTAAAAGGTGGTCGATGAAGCGATTCCTCCTACTCCCACACCTACCCCAGCAGGGGTTCTCAGACCAACTAGTAGGGGGATAAAC